TTGCTACATTCTAATCAAAACCTTAGAAAAAGTATCCAATGAATAATTTTAGCAAATCGGTCATGATGTTCCTTAGAGTCAGTATGTGAAATTTTGTTGCGGCCACTGATCAAATGGTCATTTGTTTCATCCTTTTTACTACAAAAGCAACATTTGCTGTTTTTGATTCATGTTAAGTCTTTACCTTAATGCAGTTAATCAGCAAAGCTTATTCTTGAGCCACTAAAATAAAGCCTTCAGTTTCGTTCTTTAACACTTCTTAACCATCTCCGTGTAGAGTTTTTTTTTTATCAGTTTTTCCTTCTATATCATTCAGGTATTGACCATGCATTTGTTTGTTCTTCCAGTTAACACATCGGGTTTCATGTTTCATTCTGCCTTACCTTTTTATTTTTAAGAGCTTTCCTTGATTGACTTCTTTCAGAAAGAGTTCCTAGTTTTTCTAAATGTAGTACCACACTTGGCCAATAAAGAATGCTATAATTGTTTAATTAATTTAGTCATTAATTTTAATATAATCAAATTATTATTAATATGCAGTGATTAAAAGTAATGCTTCATGGAGAGAAGGATATTATAAAGATAGAAGAAATTCAGGAAGTAACAGTAAAATGGCTTCTATATAGTCATTTGCTTGTAAAGAATTATTTTTAAGTAGCCCACCCGATAGGTTTTTCAAAAGCTGGATCTCTGTTTTATTTGTATAAACCACAAGTGAGTGAGTAAGATACCTTCAGCTAATTAATTTGCAAACCTTGTGTGATATTTATTCCCAGAAGCATCAATTTTTGCACAGAATGCGGTGCTAGTCTCTGTGAAGTTACTTGACTTGACAAGGAAAGGATTTCTGTTGGATTTAGCTTGAACATATTGTGGATCATAGTGGCTGTAAAAGTACAGGCAGTCTTGGAGCCTGCCCATTATGGTTCAAAGTTGTGACAGTGATAAAGTGAGTCACCACATACTGGACTCAATTCTGCAATCTTTTTTTCAGTGGTCATTAAGCAAATGCAATCATAAAGTGAACACTGGTTGTTAAATAATCTCATTGTTCACTATGGGCATTTTTTACTAAAAACTGGAAGTAAATGCCAGTTTTCAGCAAACAAATCATAAATTGTGGTCATGTGACCACAGGATGCTGCAAGCAGCCATAAATGTGGGCTGGTTGCCAAGCACCCAAAATGCAGTCACGTGACCTCAGGGAGGGGCAGCCATTGGTACTTCAGAAGTGGGACATAACTACTTTTTGGGGAGGTCTGTTGCAGAGGTGAGGAACGATGGCCCGTTTATGAGTTGTGGACTTCCAACTCCCAGAACTCCTGAGTCAGTATGGCTGGCTCAGGAATTCTGGCAGTTGAAGTCCACCGGTCATAAGGGCCATCGTTCCCCACTCCTGGTCTATTGTAACATTGAAAGGTTGCTAAACAACCAGTCATAAGTTGAAGACTGCCTGTAACTTAAAGGCTGAGTATTTTTTTAAAAAATAATAATAAATGTATTAAACTGTATATTTTTGTTTCTGTATGCTTGCTTCAGGTTGCAAAATAAAGGCCCTGAGAGCCAAAACAAATACGTACATCAAGACCCCTGTCCGTGGAGAAGAGCCCGTTTTTGTGGTCACTGGACGCAAAGAAGATGTCGCCATGGCCAAAAGGGAAATTCTTTCTGCTGCTGAGCACTTCTCCATGATAAGAGCTTCACGCAACAAAAATGGCCCCGCTCTGGGAGGGCTGCCTTGTAACCCCAACCTGCCAGGCCAGACCACAGTCCAGGTCAGGGTGCCTTACCGTGTCGTCGGGCTGGTGGTTGGCCCCAAAGGCGCTACGATCAAAAGAATTCAGCAGCAAACCCATACCTACATAGTTACTCCCAGTAGAGACAAAGAGCCAGTTTTTGAGGTGACCGGCATGCCTGAAAACGTAGACCGGGCCCGGGAAGAGATAGAAATGCACATTGCCATGCGCACTGGAAACTACATTGAGCTCAACGAAGAAAACGATTTCCATTACAACGGTACAGATGTAAGTTTTGAAGGAGGAAACCTTGGATCTGCCTGGCTTACTTCCAACCCAGTCCCACCTCCCAGTCGCACCCGGATGATTTCCAATTACAGAAATGACAGCTCCAGTTCTCTAGGAAGTGGTTCCACCGACTCCTATTTTGGAAGCAATAGGTTGGCTGACTTCAGCCCGACCAGTCCATTCAGCACTGGCAATTTTTGGTTTGGAGAGACCTTACCTTCCGTGGGGGCAGAGGATCTCACCGTCGACTCTCCTGCCTACGATTCCTTGCCAACACCTTCTCAGACCATCTGGACACCTTTCGAACCCGTCAACCCACTCTCCAGTTTTGGTAGCGAACCTGCTAATAATGTGAAATCTCCACGGAAAGGGAGTCAGCCATCCACACCTCGCTTGTCACCGACGTTTCCCGAGACCTTGGAACATCCCCTAGCCCGGAGAGTGAGAAGCGACCCTCCCAGCACAGTCAACCAGGTTGGCCTTCCCATCTATATCCCTGCCTTTTCCAATGGTACCAACAGCTACTCTTCTTCCAACGGTGGTTCCACATCTAGTTCCCCTCCGGAGTTAAGACGGAAGCACGACTGCGTGATCTGTTTTGAGAACGAAGTAATCGCTGCCCTGGTTCCATGTGGCCACAACCTTTTCTGCATGGAGTGTGCCAACAAGATCTGTGAAAAAGAAGCACCCTCGTGTCCAGTTTGCCAGACAGCTGTTACTCAGGCGATTCAAATTCACTCTTAAATATATAGAGATATTATATATGGACTTTTTAAACTCTTAATGGCTTGGATGTAATGGTACCCCCTAAGTAAACCTATAATGAACTCAGACTGTTAACTGGGCTTTCTTGAGATTAGGATAACAAATTGTTTGAAAAGCATGTACTCTTTTCAAAAAAACAAACAAAGGCTTGTTTAGTTAACCTTATAGGCCTAAGCCAGTCTTTCTCCATTTCGGTTGCAGCTGTGGTACCTCTAGCAAAGTCCTGGAAGGAAGCCGTGATGTTGTTGGGAAGTCTTAGGGGCTTAGATCTGTTTTTGGAGCAGGAGCATACAATGAGCATTCGCAGTCTGTCCAGATCTCGACAAAGTATTTCTAATAATGGCAGTGAAAGCGAAGTCTCGCGTAGCCCCTGAGCTTAGAAACTATTATGGGGTGGGGGGTGGGAAACGGTGCAAAGGATCATGAATGTTTCAAAATTCTTCCAGCGCTGCCTTCTTTACACTGCCAGGTTTTTCAGAGCAGGTTTGGGGATGCTTTTTTTTTTCCCCTCTTTACAACAATAACAGGCTTCATTTAACTAACGTTGCAAATAATTTTACCGTGCATCAGTTGGTTTCCTGCCATTCAAGCGAGTAGCCAAGTGAGAGGTTTTTTATTAATGAGATCATGGCTCGTGGAGGACCGAAGGGGCAAACGGGGATGAATGAAGCCCCTTCTCATCCAGTAATGTAATTTGAGGCAACTTTGAGTGAATCAGGAACGCGTGGGTCTTCCATTGCTGAAGCCTGGAAAAGCCTTCTTGGTTTCAAATCATTGCCAAGGAACATGGGAGGTCCAACCCCAGACACAGAGGGGCCCCCAGTGGTGGCAGTTTGCTTATTTATTGGCAGGGGGCATCTTAGATAATGCGCTCTACATGTGAATTGCTACTACCTTCCATTGAAAGGAAGGCGTCCCTTTGTGCCCTTGGTGTTCATCACACAATACAAGGTGCAATTCATGATGTGAATTGTGATGTTATGACGTGTCTGTATGGATCCCCTTCCCCACCCATTTCTGCTTCTTGCAGACCCAGGGTGGGAGGGCAGGGAAAGATGGAGAGGGGTTTGCATCCCTTAATGTCTAGAATGAGGATGCTGACATTCCATTGGCTTGTGCGATCAAGATGTTCTTAAATTAATTATTTTAGCGAATATCAAGAGTATAAAAAATGTGAATCATTTTTATGTTCCAACCACACTTGCACATTATATAAAACTTGTCTTTTTATTTTTAGTCATATGGGGGGGCGAAAGGGGTAACATCCACAGTTTTTTATCATTCGGTGATAAATGACTGAGACCCAGCAAAATGGTTTATTTCATTTCAAAACTACACTTCCCTCTCTCAAGGAAAAAAAAATGAACTTCTCTATTGATTTCTTTAATATACATTTCAGCCTGTGGATGTTTCTCCTTACAGTACTTCATCCTCAGAATTTTCTCAAATCTGTGCTGGCGTTTTTAAAAGAACACTCAGAAGTTCTGATGGATTCCATTTTTCTTCTTCTCTCTCTTCCTCTTTCTCCTTTAGCAAACTTCTGTCTGTCCTTCCTCTTACTCACTCTCTTTTTTTGAGCAATATCTTCCCAAGATGAAATAATTTTTCTCAGAATAGCAAATTCTATGTGTATTGAACTAGTGAATATACAGAAAACTTTATTTTTTATTTCCACTTGAAAGAGTTACATTTCGTATAAAAAAAAGTTTACAGATAACGGTTTTTATTTTATGATTTTTTTTCAGTATAAAAGTTGCCTTGATGGCATATAATATTATTATTATTACATTATGAGATGCATAACTTTAACGCTAATAGCTTGTAGGATAGTTAAATGTCAGTATTGAATTCTTAATCTTTAGCTGAGTCTTGTAGATATGAACAATCTCATTTACCAAGCATGTATTTTGTATATTGTTGCATTGTACACTGCAGCTAATAAGCCAAGGATTCGACATTAGATGCGTGTACTGTTTCTATAAACCACAGACTTCAGAATGACAAAACTCTCAATATGGTTTAGTATTTGCTAATTTTACTACACTCTTTTTGTTATGTATATGTAGAAAGGTCATAAGGATTATAAATTCAATTTGAGTAAAGTTTAAAAAAAGCATATATTTTATGATAAAGGGCCTTTAACTTATGATGGCCAAAGCACTGATATTATATATTTGCTGTAAAGAGAATTATAAGAGTTTTATTTTTCTGATATTAAAAAGTTACTTAATAAAGACTTGTTTCCATTAACTCGAATGTTTTCTTGATGTTGCACTTTTCATGGCGGGTGGTTGTCAAAGAAACGTTATATGTGAAATAGTATCTAGATCACCGCACCTACTAGGATGTTACAACGCAGGGGATATTTGGATAATTGAGGGATGGGAAATCAGAGAATCTAAATTTAAAGGCAAATAAAATAAAAAAAGAGATGAAACAGAAAACTAGAAGATAAACGTAAGGACTTTTTGCTGGTAAACAGTGGAGTGGGACTACAAGAATAGCTTCATTCCATCTGGATCAGCGGTTCTCAACCTATGGGTCGCGACCCCATTTGGGGTCGATTGACCATTTCACGGGGGTCGCCAAGCAAGGCTGTCTGCCATTTTTTTTGTCCGCCATTTTTTCCCCCTTTTCCGGCGGGTGCCTTACCTCCCTTGGGCTGGGCCAGCTGGTGGTCGGCCTGCTCTGTCTCTGCCGCTTGCCAGCTACGCCTCAGCCGGCACAGGGGGGGCAGAAGCACGCATTCGTGGCGCTCCCGGGCAGGGAAAGTCCTCGACTTACGACCGGTTGGGTAGTCCTCGACTTACGACCGGTTTAGTCCTCGACTTACGACCGGTTTAGTCCTCGACTTACGACCGGTTGGGGATCGCAGCATTAAAAAGGTTGAGAACCACTGATCTGGATGAAAGAAAATATAAAATATTCTAACAGTTTAAGGAGAATATTTGATGGTAGAAGGCTAATGTTTCAGGCAAAATGGAGGGAGAAAAAGATTAGAGACAATATGTCTATGTAGATTCTGAGTCATCCAGGTCATGGTTGACCCAAAAGTGCTTTTTCAAAAGGCAACTGGACTTTGTTTTTCCTTGAAGACATTGTGCTGCTCATCTAAGAAGCTTCTCCAGAACTGAAGAAGCTTCTTGGATAAGAAGCGTAACTTCTTCAAGGAAAAACAAAGTCCAATTGCCTTTTTAAAAAGCAACCTTAGGGCATTATGGACAATAGTTCCAGCTGAATTAAAGATTCTATGGTGGAATCAAAATCAAAGAATGTAATTGCTCGGTAGCAGATAGAGCAGAGGTGGGCAATTAATTTTCCCAAGGAGCCGTATGAAGAAACTAGGACTGCACACTGTTTGTTCACCTCCAAGGCCATGCTTCAACCAAGGTGCTGGTGGATGGCCAAACCTGGGTCCTATCACATGATGACTGCCATTGCCATCTCAGGTTGCGCCAAGCAAGGGGTAAGCTCTGCAGAGGCTCAGAAAAGCACTTTCTCTTGTGCTCCCCACAGTCATCAGTCAACTGAAGGAGCACATGGTGACTGTGCAGAGCCAGACCCAACTCGCCTTCTCCTGCTCCCTGCAGCATGCTTATTTATATTTGATTTCTAATTTCCAAGTAACCTCAAGCGGGCCTGACAAGGACAGACTAAAGGGCCCGGATGTGGCCCGGGGGCCATAAAGTGCCCAGATCTGGTACAGAATATGGTTGAGGAATATGAAAAGCAATTGAGGAGCTAATGACATAGGGAACCAAAATACAAGTTCCATTTTCAATATCTTGATTTTGAGGTAGTAATGCTTCATCGGACAATTGAAGATGAAGTTCTACCTGGATTGCAGTGATGGCAAACCTTTTGGGCTCTGCATGTCAAAAATCTGGAAAATAACTAATTTGAGTCAGCTGACTTATCGCTCCCCCCAAAAGAAAAACAGTTCCTTACATATTGCTTTATAATTAAACATGCTTGCAGAATAACAGAGTTGGAAGGCACCATCCTAGGAGGTCTTCTAATCCAACCCCCCCCCAATACCATTCTAGAAAAAGAACTTAGAAGTCTTCTAGTCCAACCCTGTATACCATTTTAGACAAATAGTTGTCCAATCCCTTCTTAAAAATGTGCAGTGTTGGAGCACCCACAACTTCTGGAGGCAAGCCATTCATTTCTCCTCAATTATGGGTTGATTCTCTCCTTGATTGGTTTCCATCCATTGCTTCTTGTCCTGGCTACACGTACCTTGGAGAATAGGTTGAACCCCTCTTTTGGCAGTCCCTTAGATATTGGAACACTGATATTATGTCACCCCTAGTCCTCTTCATTAAATTCGTTCTTCATATGTTTTAGCCTCCAGTCCCCTAATCAACGTCTTTTTTTATATTGTGACCAAAACTGGATGCAGTATTCCAAGTGTGGTCTTACCAAGGCATTATAAAGTAGTGCTAACACTTCACGTGATTTTGATTCTATCCCTCTGTTAAAGCAGCCTAGGACTGAGTTGGCTTTTTTGGCATCTGCAGCACACTGCTGGCTCATATTTAAGTGATTGTCCATTTAGACTCCACGATCCCTCTCTCAATTACTACTATTGAGCCAGGTACCACCCATTCTATACCTGTGCATTAGATTTTTTTATTTTTTATTTATTTTTATTTTTTTGCCTAAAGGCAGGCAACCTTACAAAAGCTGATTTCACACAATTGCTGATAGGGTGCTCATTTTGAAGACTGCAGTTGCAGATATTCTCTGTGCTTGCACTTTCAAAATGAGCTCCACTGTGCAAACAACCACCCCGTGCAACAATTGGAAGACAACTGAACTGTGTAGCTGCCATGTTCCTATTAGTCTCTTTTTCATATCACTACCAATCCCCATTCTGAACATGACAGATCACATGCTGATACGGATGGTGAGTATCCATTTTTATCTTTGGGTGGTGGCAGGTTGCATATTTATGTTCATTTCATTTCTTTGGTCAGTCAAATAGACAGAATAGTTCAGGTGTTGGTGAATGCTGGCATGTCATCGTTGACACATGTGTTATGGGTTCGCCATCCCTGATATAGGTGATACAATGAGATTTTTTTTGAGTTTCATGTGAGGCTGAAAGTTTTGAAAGCAATATAGATTTATCAGGGACCTGCCAGATGACACTTTTTAATCAATAGCCCACTCTGCTAGATCTAAAGGGGCAAGCAGAAACTACTAAAGAGAAGTGTTGCAACCTGGTTCCAGGCCAGGTAGGTCCCTAGGTGACAACCAGTACTACGAGTAGCCCTTGGAAGCTATTGGAAACCAGTGCAATTCACATAGAGATGTCAGATGGGCATACTATGGTGTGACCAAACTATATGAATTGTGAACCTTTCAAATAGTCTTCAAAGGCAGCCTCATGTAGAGTGCATTGCAGTAGTCCAATTGGAAAGTGACTAAGACATGAGTGATTCTCAGCAGTGTGTCCCAGTTGAGCAATGATGCATGCCAGCTCCATTGGGTAGACCAGATACGAAGATTAGAACTACATTTATTGTGATTGGGTACCATAAGAGAATCCTGCTAGTCTAATTGTGCTGTACCTCCCTCTTTTTTATGCCAAGAACCCAGCTGCCACCTGCTCTTCAAGCAGGAGCTGTAAGCATAAGAAACCTCAGATTGCACACCAACTCCAGGGGAGTGTAACCCAGCCAGGGTTAATGATGGAACGCCACTTGATCTGGAGACCTAAAACCCACAGCCATTCAGTTTTGGCAGGATTGAGCAAAGCCAGTTCTTCCTCATCCAACCCACAGCCTCCAGGCACTGAGGAAGTATCTCAGCAGCATCACTTGATTGGCCCAAGACCAAGTTGTACAACTGATATCACCAGCATACTGATATTTAACCCGATGCTGATAAATGACCTCACCCGTTCAACCCCCCCTCAGCAGATTCACGTAGGAGTCAAATAGGAATGAGGAAGAGTGTCAAGCCGTAGCAAAGGTTTAGGGCAGGATTTCTTGGTCTGTAACAACATCAAGTGGAACCAACCTTGGAGGAA